CATCACCTGAGGAAGATCAGAAGGAGACCTGAGACCAGAAAGAGACCTGAGAGACCAGAGAGAGACCTGAGAGAGACCAGAGAGAGAGACCAGAGAGAGAGACCAGAGAGAGGACCAGAGAGAGACCAGAGAGAGAGACCAGAGAGAGTCCAGAGAGAGAGACCAGAGAGAGAGGACCAGAGAGAGACCAGAGAGAGACCAGAGAGAGGACCAGAGAGAGACCAGAGAGAGACCAGAGAGAGAGACCAGAGAGAGAGACCAGAGAGAGACCAGAGAGAGACCAGAGAGAGACTAGAGAGAGACCAGAGAGAGAGACCAGAGAGAGAGACCAGAGAGAGAGAGACCAGAGAGAGACCAGAGAGAGACCAGAGAGAGACCAGAAAGAATTGGTCTTGTTTCAGTCCTGCTTCAAACCTGGTTCAATTTTCCAGTATCTTCAGACTTGCTTCAGACTCTTGCTTCCGACTCTTGCTTCAGACCTGGTTCAGACTTGGTTTAGTCCTGGTTCAGACCTGGTTTAGTCCTGCCTATAGGTCCGAGGGCTTATATAGGCTGAGACAGGCGGAGCTGGACACACAGAGAGGGTGTGGTTGTGTCCAGGTTTACTCAGAGAATGTGTATTTATGGAATTTTGATAAATGTGAGTCAATATTAGACTTTGGGATTTTCATCTGTGACAGTTTTAAGTTGCAGCTCGAGAGTTTGTTCAGAGATTTAAGGAAAAGAATAAACTCAGGTCCAAACTTTGAAACGGTGTGCAGACTTCTCACACTTCTGCTGAACAAGCACAAAACTCACTGATATGAAACCAGCAGAAGTCTGTGAGTCTGAAGCTGAATGAATGTGTCAAGAATATTTACAATTTAAGTTGATAGAGGCTTTTTGTTCATTCTCACATTAGAATATGTTGTGTTTTGTATTCTCATGTGTAACGGATAAACAAATGCACTTTATATTCTTTGTTTACAATTCCTGGTTGTATTTTATATTAAATTGTAACTTATTTTTATTATTTTGACGTTTTATCTGGAAATTCCTGAAAGTGCGCGCTGCTGTTTTAGTTTGGTACTCAGCTTTCCCTCTCAAAGCCGCGTTGTATACGAGTCCTGTCTCTGTGAAAAACACATATTTTCAATCATTTAGCTTTAGTTTCGGCAATATTCACTAAGATATGTTTAGTAGGAAATGTTTTAGGATGAAATGAACCTACTTTTGAAGATTTTTTTAGCGCACATTTTTAGTTTGTTTGTACTTTTTATTTAGCTAGCTCACCATGTGCTCATGCTCACGTGCCGTTTTCATCCCGTAGGGGGCGCCAGTGTGTCCGCTGTTACTGAAAATTTATATTTTTGGTCTGTCACAGGTCTGAGTGTAGTAGTGGAGGATTTGTAGTGGTAGGGGAAACCGGAGCACCTGGAGGAAACCTCCAATGTTTGTATATAGAAAATGTTTTCTACTCCTGTATGTTTTACGAGACAGTGTGATACAAGCAGTGATTTAGGAACTCTAGGGCTTGAGACATACTGGAAAGTTCTTTCTCTGAGGAAGCAGGGGAGTAAAAGACAAGAAGTGACACAGGGGAATAGTGACAGCCCACAACTTCAGGGGAACCATTAGGAAGAAGGGTTGTGGAAAAATCCCCCTGCCTCAGCAGGCGGCACGAGCACCGGGTCGTCCGACTCAGGGAACCAGGACTCAAGAGGCCTCGGGACTCGAGCCTCCAGGAACAATCCACGATTGTTGGGATCGTAATGGAGAAGGAGAAAGTCTGTCTCTCTCTTCTCTCTCTGGTCTTTCATTCTGGCCTTAAGGTTTCTCCATCTCTCTTTCTCTCTCCCCTGGTCTCTCTCTTTCTCTCTCTCTCTCTGCTCCCTCTCTCTCTCTCTCTCTCTCTGCTCTCTCTGAAATGCAGCTTGTTTTCTGCACACTCTCTTTGATGACAGCCATCCGACTATTTCGGCCTCAACTTCGCTGTGCATCGCTCTAAAACATAATTCGTCAAAGTTGGCGATTCACCAACAACAGATCAGAGAATTCTCGACCATCGGTGAACTGTTCCACACGGATGTGAAATATTGACAGAAGCATTGAAGGTTGTGTTTGCAAATGTCTGAATGAAAGATGGAGGTGGAACAGTTCATGGCCTCACATGATCTCAACATTTGTAATTTAAATTCAACATCAGGAGATGTTTGAGCGCCACGTCTCACACACATTATACTTATTTACTTTGCTTTGATGCAGAGTCTGAGGATCCTGCTTCAGACGAGCCACAGGCCGCGCAGCGTCGCTGTTGCTTTATTCTGTGGCCTCCGTGAGATCAGCAGAAAAACACATTATCGTTTATTAAATGATCTTGTGTTTTGGATTCACTTTATTCTGAATCCTGTCTGGTTAGAGACTGGTTAGGGCCTGGTTAGAGTCTGGTTAGAGCCTGGTTAGGGCCTGGTTAGAGTCTGGTTAGAGCCTGGTTAGAGCCTGAGCCTTGTTAGAGTCTGGTTAGAGTCTGGTTAGAGTCTGGTTAGAGTCTGGTTAGGGTCTGGTTAGAGTCTGGTTAGAGTCTGGTTAGAGTCTGGTTAGAGTCTGGTTAGAGCCTGGTTAGAGTCTGGTTAGAGTCTGGTTAGAGTCTGGTTAGAGTCTAGGTTAGAGTCTGGTTAGAGCCTGGTTAGAGCCTGGTTAGAGTCTGGTTAGAGTCTGGTTAGAGTCTGGTTAGAGTCTGGTTAGAGTCTGGTTAGAGCCTGGTCAGAGACTGGTTAGAGTCTGGTTAGAGCCTGGTTAGAGCCTGGTTAGAGTTTGGTTAGAGTCTGGTTAGAGCCTGGTCAGAGCCTGGTTAGACCCTGGTTAGAGCCTGGTTATGGCCTGGTTAGAGTCTGGTTAGAGCCTGGTTAGGGCCTGGTTAGAGCCTGGTTAGAGTCTGGTTGGAGCCTGGTCAGAGACTGGTTAGAGTCTGGTTAGAGCCTGGTTAGAGTCTGGTTAGAGCCTGGTTAGAGCCTGGTTAGGGCCTGGTTAGAGCCTGGTTAGAGTCTGGTTAGAGCCTGGTCAGAGACTGGTTAGAGTCTGGTTAGAGCCTGGTTAGAGTCTGGTTAGAGTCTGGTTAGAGCCTGGTTAGAGTCTGGTTAGAGTCTGGTTAGAGTCTGGTTAGAGTTTGGTTAGAGTCTGGTTAGAGCCTGGTCAGAGACTGGTCAGAGTCTGGTTAGAGCCTGGTTGGGGCCTGGTAAGAGCCTGGTTAGAGCCTGGTTAGAGTCTGGTTAGAGCCTGGTCAGAGACTGGTCAGAGCCTGGTTAGGGCCTGGTTAGAGCCTGGTAAGAGCCTGGTTAGAGTTTGGTTAGAGTCTGGTTAGAGCCTGGTCAGAGACTGGTTAGACTCTGGTTAGAGCCTGGTTAGGGCCTGGTTAGAGTTTGGTTAGAGTAAGTAATCTTTATTTATATACCGCCTTTCACAGACCAGAGTCACAAAGCGGTTTGCAATTGTTATTTTTTGGGCACTTGTCCTCTCACTCCACTCAGAGATGGGAGCAGGAGTCTGGTTAGAGTCTGGTTAGAGCCTGGTTAGAGTCTGGTTAGAGTCTGGTTAGAGTCTGGTTAGAGCCTGGTCAGAGACTGGTTAGAGTCTGGTTAGAGCCTGGTTAGAGTCTGGTTAGAGCCTGGTTAGGGCCTGGTTAGAGCCTGGTAAGAGTCTGGTTAGAGCCTGGTTAGAGCCTGGTTAGAGCCTGGTTAGAGCCTGGTTAGGGCCTGGTTAGAGCCTGGTTAGAGTCTGGTTAGAGCCTGGTTAGGGCCTGGTTAGAGACTGGTTAGAGTCTGGTTAGAGTCTGGTTAGAGCCTGGTTAGAGCCTGGTTAGGGCCTGGTTAGAGCCTGGTTAGAGTCTGGTTAGAGCCTGGTTAGGGCCTGGTTAGAGACTGGTTAGAGTCTGGTTAGAGTCTGGTTAGAGCCTGGTTAGAGACTGGTTAGAGTCTGGTTCTTTAATGTGTTAAACAGTATTGTAAACCCAGTTGAACACACTGGTGTTTCCCCATCTGTTTCTTTGTGCGACCAATTCTGTAAATTTTTTAAAGAGAAAGTGTCTTCTTTGCGCTCTTCAACCTCATGTGCTGTAGTGGATCCCAGTCTTGTCTCTCCTTGTTCAGCTGTTTTTGCAGATTTTGAGCCCATCTCTCTGTCTGAATTACTGCAGACTGTTCAAACACTTAAAGTGTCTAACTGTCCTTTTGATACCCTGCCTGCGAGAATGTTTAAAGATGTTTTAGATTCTGTTGGTCCTTGTATTTTAAACCTGATCAATCTGTCACTTGAAGAGGGCTGTGTCCCAGCTGCCTTTAAACAGGCCATTGTGCAGCCTTTGCTAAAAAAGCACAATTTGGACCCATCTGTCTTGTCCAATTTTAGGCCTATTTCTAAACTGCCTTTTCTATCCAAGGTTCTAGAAAAGGTAGTTCTTAACCAGCTCCAGTCGCATCTTAAATCAAATGATATTTTTGAAAAATTTCAATCTGGGTTTAAATCCTTGCACAGCACAGAAACTGCACTGTTGAAATTTTTTAATGATCTTCTTTTAATCTCTGACTCCGGAAGCCCCTCGGTGTTAGTGCTTCTAGATCTGACAGCAGCATTCGACACTGTCGATCATAACATTCTTATCTCCCGCCTTGAGTCCTGTGCTGGAATTAAAGGCACAGCACTCAAGTGGTTCCACTCGTACCTGTCCGATTGGGTGTTTTATGTAAATCTCGGCTCTTGCAGCTCAAAGAAAGCCTCCCTTGACAGTGGTGTACCGCAGGGTTCCGTTTTAGGACCAGTTTTATTTTCACTGTACATGTTGCCCTTAGGCTCAATATTCAAAAAGCATAACATTTCATTTCACTGCTTTGCTGATGATGTTCAAATCTATTTGCCTTTGAATGTGAATTCCGATTCCGTCCAAGCACTGCAGAAATGTCTTGACGATGTAAAAGACTTGATGTCAATCAATTTTTTAAACCTGAATGACACAAAAACAGAAATTG